TTACCCAAATGAATTAAAAATGTAGTTCCACACAAAACCTGCACACAGATGTCTATAGTATTTTCAGTCACAATTGCCGAAACTTGGAAGCAACCAAGATGACCTTCAGTAGGTGGATGGAAAAATAAACTGTGGTACAACCAGACAATTGAAATATTATTCAGTGCTAAAAAGAAATGAGCTGTTAAGCCATAAACGACATAGAAGAAACTTAAATGCTTATTGCCAAGTGGAAGAAGCCAGTCTGAAAAGGCTACGTATCATATGATTCCAACTAGATGCCATTCTGGAAAAGACAGCATTTTAGAAATAACACAAAGATTCGTGGTTGCCAGGGGTTGCGGGAGGAAGAGATGAATAGTAGGGCACAGAGGATTTTTGGGGCAGAGAACCTATTCTGTTTGATACTACAATGGTAGATGCACATCATGATACATTTGTTCAAACCCATAGAATATATGAAAGAGCAAATTCTAGCGTTAATTATAAACTTTAGGTGGAAATGATGTGTCAATGTAGGTTCGTCAATTGTAACAAATGAACCACCACTCTGGCTGGTGTAAGGTGCCAATAATGGGGGAGGCTGTGCCATTTTCAGGAGCAGGGTTATATATGGGACCTCTGTACTTTTGTTCAATCTTTTGTGAGCCTAAAGCTGCTCTAAAAATTAAATCCACTTTTTCAAATATGGGCAAAAAATCTTCAAAAGACATTTCACTAAAGAAGTCATACAAATAGCACATAAAAAACTGCTTAACATCATTAGTCATTAGGGAAATACAAATTAAAATCACAATGAGATACTACTACATACCCACTAGAATGCCTATAATTAAAAAGACAGAAATAACAGGTGTTGGTAAGAATGTAAATAAACTGGAACCCTCAATACATGGCTGGTAGAAACGTTAAATGTTACAGCCATTTTGGAAAATAGTTTGGTAGTCTCTTAAAATGTTAAACATAAATTTACCATATGATCCAGCAATTCCACTCCAAGATATCTGCCCAAGAGAAATGAAAACACATGTCCACATGAATATATGTACACAAATGTTCATGACAGCATTATTCATAATAGCAACAAAGTGGAAAAAAATCTGAATGTCCATCAACTGGTAAAGGATATACAAAATGTGGTACATCCATATAATAAAATACTATTCAGAAAAAAAAATAGCAAATGCATATTGATGGATGTTACAACACAGCTGCACCTCAGAAACATTCTAAGTGAAAGCAGCCAGATACAAAAGACCACAGATTGTAAAATCCATGGATGCAAAATGTCCAGAAAAGACACATCTCTAGCAATAGGGTGTAGAATTGTAGTTGCCCACAGCAGGGGGTGGGAATGCAGATGGTCTGCAAATGGACATGAGCGATCATTTGGGGGAGATGGAATTATTCTAAAACTGGATTGTAGTAATGTTGGAACAACTGTGTAGATTTACTAAAATTCATTCAATTGTAAAGTTAAAACATTAAATGTGATGGTATGTAAATTATACCTCAGCAAAGCTGTTAAGGAACAGCAGATGCTTATTAAGGCTATCAGGAGGGTACAGGAATGGGGAGGGCACACAGTAAGAGCACTACCTATGATACATTTAACATAACCCCATGACTGGTGAATGTGTCTTTCAGGAATACCTCCTGCTGTTGGTGTATTTATCTAGGATAAATAGCCTCACACTTACATCAAACAGAGACAATTGAAGCCACCAAGTTCAATCCAAGCATCATCTCACTGGCAGAATAAAACAGTATAACCTCCAGCTTGGCCAGAAAGAGGATATGACCCCTCAACTAGTACTGAAACAACCACTGCCTTCCGAATGCCTACCATGTATCTCGGTGTGGGTTAAAAGGCCTAAACAATATAGTTATCACTTGCCAGTTGACTGGCCTCTCCTTTGAAAGAGGGCTTGGATAAGGATAATAACTTACTTTTGTAAAGCACTTACAAAGTGCCTTAACATACGCTAGCTCATCTATTCCCACAGCAGCGCTATCAGCAGATGCGGCAGGCGCTCTTGATTGACAGGCCCTGTCATTATTCCAGCTCCGGTCAAGGACACATGAGCATGTATTTGCTGGAGGAGCTTTGGGGAAAGCTTTTGCCTTTCTGATACAATGAGACAGATATTCTGTCCCTTCCTCTTTTCCCTCCTCTGTGCCTGAAACAAGGATGATACAAAACAAAAAAACAAACAACAACAAAAAAACCAGCAGTCATGTTGGGACTACCTGGGGAGCAGCGGGTAGAAAAGGCCAAGAGAACCCCAAAGAGTCACAGAGATGCTGCTTCTGACATGGGCAAGCTGCTGGACCAACTCTGGCAGCATCTCCCTAGAAGCTGTGTTAAGAGAAACGAATGAATTCCTACTTGTTTGTACCATTTTGGTTGGGTTTTCTGTTTGTTGTTGTCAAGACTATATACCTGCCTGGCAAAGGAGAAATTTTTAGTCACACTTCACAGATGCAAAAACTTGTAAGTCTTTGAAAAACTCTGCAATTCATCAAACCAAGGTCAAAATGCCAGCAACTTGCACTCAGGGTTCTGAATTTAATAATAGAGTTAACAGCCACAACCACAAAAGTCACCTATTGGGCACCAAGTGGTGTCAAGGCTCTGATGCCACTGGGCTCCTGACTGGCATATTTTCTCTAATTCTTAGAACTCTGCAGGCTGAGTGTTACTATCTCTATTTTATGGAGGAGCCCATTAAGGCTAAGAAAGATCAAGTAAATTGCTCAAAATCACATAGGGAGTAAGTGGTAGAGCCACCATTCTAAACTGGCATGTGTCTTGCCTGCTATGAAGAAAGTTTAAAGGAATAAAACATACTTCCTAGGATTAGGCAACCAGCTACTCTAAGTCTCCACTGATCAAAAACATTATGTGTAGGAAATGAGCCGGATGATCGCTAGTGGGAGTCAGGTTAGCTAGCCAAACTCATTATGCTTGCTTGTGTATTGCAACTGTCATACTCGAAACTGTAACATAAAGTTTCTAGATACAATTGTCTTTTCACTGTTTATAACCACTTTTGTCTCTTATAGAAATAAAATAGAAAACTCACACTGATTACAGGAAGTACCGTGCCTAGGAAAATCTCTACAGGAGATGTGAGATATAGTTGTTTTCCAGAGGGGTAACAATTAAAACACCACTTTTTGTCAACAGCAGAGAGCAGCTTGGGACCCAGAACAAGCATGAAGAGACAGAAGTCTCTAGGTAGAGGGTAAAGACCAGCCTAGGCGCCTGCCAGGGAAAAGGCTTCATTGTGAGAAGGAAGCTCCTAGCTGAGCCCCACCGGGCACACACAGGATACACCCCCAGCGATGCCCGTTGCTGTCAATCTAAGGATAGCATTGGTAGTTTCTAGCATACTTGAGCTGTTGTGGGGGTCTGTGCATGTCGGATTGGACTTAGATGAGGCTGGTAAAAACCAGTTCAGAGAAATTTGTAGATGTTAGTCGCAGACTGCTGTGTCTTCACCAGAAGTAATCTCTCCCTTCTGAGATGGGCAGCAATGTCATTTATCTCCATCAGGCCCAATGGGTTGCTCAACCTTCAAGTGCTTAATTATTTTTTCTTTCTGGATTATCTGTTCTCCCCCACCCCCCAACAATGACAAATAATTGATTCACTTAAACAAGGGGCATCCAGAACTGATGGAGAGGTCTTTTCAAGGGATCATGGAACTCTGTGCTCGGGAGAAGACAGGCCTCAGATTCTCTCAGGTAGGGCTCTAGATGGTGCTGCTGAGAGGCTACCTTATTTTCACAGGTTCCAATGCTAGCAGGGACTCTCCTGGCCACCTCACCTGGTGTTGCTAAGAGAAGGCCTGCTCCTCTGGTAGGCTGCAAACATCGCTTCGATTTGTGAGGTGAGACAAAAAGGAGAGGTGAACTAGAAGGATCACACTGGTACTTTTGTGAGGAGCAAGTATCTCCCCTTCCCTCAGACAGGGTTGTTTAGACCCCAACTTGCCCTGGGTCCTCCCAAATGCTGCTATTTCCCTCTATATGACTGAGGCAGCATTTCTACATCACATGAAACTGATATTATAGCAAATCGTATCACCATGAAAGTAGTGAATCTTCCCTGCCCAGTTATTATCCTGTGTTTCTCAGAGGTGTGTCTTCTTTCCCAAGGTCACTCTGGGCAACTTGAGCGAGCCACAGTGTCATACAGGGGCCTAGGGACAATCATTAGGAGAAACTCAGTAGAAATAAAAATCTGAGGAGACTTTACCTCCTCTGACTTCTCACCACCTCCTCCATCCTACTCTGCCAACCTTCAGACTGTTCAAGCTAGAGGCTTTCCCAGAGTCCTTCTCTAGGGACAAAATAGACTCATTTAGCTCCTTGAACAGATCATCAAATGCCCACTCCCCCAAGAAAAAAAGCAGTTCGAACCACAGCCACTTCTCTCAAAGGACTGTCAAACATGCAATAAACCAGTGGTCTCCTATCAAAAGCATCATAACTCATTTAACATTGAGGATATATTTTAAGAAATATATCCTTTTTTTCTAGATTAGAAAAACAATACTTGTTTCTTTTTATTTCAGCAGGGTTCCAGATAATAAAAAGATTTATAATTAGGCCAGTAGATTTACTTTTGCTATGCCACCCTAGATTATGAAAAAGCATAATTATATGCAATTAAAAAATGAACAGTATTTCTTACCCGAGTGAAGCTTTAAAAGTCATTATGAATCCATTAGCTCAGCAGACCTTATAAATGGCCTTCACTACCCTGGACTGCATTTAAATCTACAACAGAGAGAAGTAACTTTTCCTCCTTTCCATAGTGTGTGTGTGTCTGTGTGTGTGTGCATTTTCACCCTCCTCAGCCATACCAGGAAGTGGCCAGACATTAATTTTATATTCTAAGGCCATGTTCTTAGTATTGAACTTGACCACAGAGCTCCTAATGCTTTAGAAGCCTCCACCTAGAAAACCGAGGAATGATCTCAGCATTCTTCTACTTAGCCTTGTCCCTACCTGTTTACTTCCTTAGGCAGTAATTCTTTTTCTTCTTCTTCTTTTTTTTTTTCTTCAGTGTAACAGTATCAGATGAGCCAAGACTGTTTGAAACTATTTGGATACTGTACTCTGGTTCCCTCATCTACTCCAGCTACATCAGCCTAAATTGTCCTAGTGAGTTCCCTTACGTCTGGGTAACTGTAGATTTGGTTTTTGTTCTTATTAGTTGTCTCACTTATCCAGATAATTACCTAGTTTGATGGAAGCTTAATCTGTTGACTACTAGAAAACAATGCATACAGGAGGATTGATCTAGATAATTCAGACACCATTCATGATTTTATTTCAATTGAGCATTCGTGTGCGACAAGAACTGGTAATTATTGAAAATTTCATCTGCATAAAAATAATAGATCTTACCCACAAGCCCATTTCCTCTTGTCTGTCAGTGTTAGAGTCACCCTCAACATCATTCTTGGCGGTGGCCCAGCAGTTACAGTAAAAACAAACAAACAAACAAACAAACAAAACTGACACTGTCTTTTATTTAACTGGCCAAGATTGCCCCCTGAGCTCTCCAGTCTCACTGTATTTGCCTGATGATGTTTGAGCCTTCTCCGTAGCAGCTGAAAGTCTGCTAATAATCAGGATCACTTGGAAAGCAATTAAAAGTATATAGAGATGAGTCCTAACCCAGACTAACTGATCAGAAATTCTAGGAGTGGAGCTCAGGAATCTGCATTTTAAAGTCACTCACCTGGTGATTCTTAGGCAGCCAGCCTCACATGGTGCATAAACTGACATTGACATCACTGCAGTCTAGACAATGGGTACACTCAGGTGAGTAAGAGAGATGGTCTCTGGTCATTTTTCTGCTCTTGCTGCATCATTCTTTCTTAGTCTTACGATTCAAGCCTGGATGAATAAGGATCCCAAGAGCAGAACAAGATACCTCCAACTCTAGAAGTCTTCCCAGAGTGGGCTGGGTGAAGGGGGCTATCTCCAAGTCAGGGGCCATGCCCTGGGGAGGATGGTAGGCCTCCAGGGGTCTATCTCAGTGTCACCATAGCTGCTCAGTGGGCTCAAACTTTCCCTCTTATTTTCTAGTTTTTAGGTGTCCTGGTTCTCTTGTGCCCCTTATTCAATGCAAGCCATCAACAAATTCCTTAAAAATAAAACACTGCAACACTGTAAGTGCAAGACATTGAGACAATGAGTATGCTATCCTGAAAAGAACAAAGAACCAGGGTTCAGAAGAACTGGCCTTTCATACCAGCACTGCCATTTTCCAGTGACGTGACCTTGCAGAAGTCACTTCAGCTTTCCAGGCTTTGGCTAGACCAAAGAATAATACCTCTCCAGCTCAAGTATTGTGGAATACAGCATAGTCCCATGAGGCCCTGCATATGTTCTCTCAGTGGTTGATATTTTGCAGTCTACATCACTAAGCAGCTTCATAGCTGTAATTAAGGTATTAATCTTTCTGAGCCTTAGTTTACTCATTAATAAAATTGGCATAATCGTATTCTCAGCCATACAATTGAATACGAATTAAGTGCATCTCCCCTAGCACCATGCCTGGCACTTGGGAAACACTGAGTTTACTGACGTTATCATTATCACCATCATTATGAAAAACACACTTTCTTATGTTCTAAAGGGCCCAATTCATACTGGCCACTGTATTGCTCTGACAAGGTAACAAAGTGACCTCGGAAACCTGGCTAGCAAGGGATCAAGGCATAACCCTAGTCATGGATTCAGAGAACAGAAGCTGGCCCTTCTGTGGAAGCCCCTGCTGTCTAGGTCCACGTCGTCCCTGGCTCTCCCAGCTGGAGGGGGTCACTCAAGCACGCTGGAGTGATGGCCAGACAGGACAGCAACTGCATTTGTCCTGGAAGTCCCGCGGCAAGTGCTGGACGGGGTTTTGAGTTGTGTTTTAATGAATAAAGTCCTCCAGCGTAATGCAACCTCAGGAGTCTCAACATGCTGGCCTTCTCCCCTGCACTCTCTGCGTGGCCACTCCAAGAGCAGATATTTTCCCCCAAGGTTCTCCCTTGAACCCTGGAGCTTGCCAGGAGCAGCCACCCCATCCAGGGATTCTGCTTTCCATGCAATCTCTCTTTTCCTTCTCTCTCTGAGAATCTCAAAGCCAAGTTGTTTGTAAACTCCCCCACACCCCCAAATGGCTCTGTTGCAAGGCTCAGCTCATTAACATGCAGGCAGTAAAGTACGTCAGGAGCTCCGATTTGTCATATTAAGGAGGCTATATGGCTGTGGAGAGGAACATTAAAAGATTTTATTCTAAGATATTCTCTCCAACCCCCACCCACTGCAGACAAAATCCCTTGGGACAAGCCTCTGCTTCAGTGCTCTCGATTTCTGATGAATATTCTCATCAGTGCCACAGGCCTGGGTGCTGTTCCTGCTCCACTGCGCCCTGCTCTTTGGGGTCTCAGGATTGCTTTTTGAGATGTTTCTGAGACTTGAGCAGCTCCCATGGTAAAACCATCACCGTCATTCTTTCCTCTCACCCACTCACTTACCGTTAAAGCCCCATTCCAGGGAGAAGTGGAGGGAGATTTCATCTCCACTATGGAATGCCTTACTCCTGGAACTAATCACAGCATTTCCCTGCCCTCCTCAGAACAATCTGATGCCATTATCACTGACAACATCAAAAGAGGTCCCCTTTATAGATTGCATTGTACAAATAGAATTGCCTAGATGTGCCGAGTTTGCCAATTAAGAGTGTACAGGCATATTTACACAATGCCACGGAGCATGGGTGAAGGATGAGCCCAGGATAAGATTAAATCAGCAGACTGAAAGATAAATGAACAGTAATGCATTAATATTGAGTACTTCTCAGAGCGTAAGTGCCATCTGGGGCAGAAGGCAAGGAAAGGGCATGACTGCAGGGTCACTAGGGCAAGAATGACTGATGTGAAAGGTCAAGGGCAGGCGTTGCCTCCAGGCCACCTCCTGAAGTGAAAGGAAGCCTTCTACATTTCCCTATGCCCCCTGAGTTTCAGAGATACCCTATTTGAATGATAGAAAACAAAGTGAGGAAATGACCAATCTCAAGGTTTGGAAGGTGAGGGGGACATCGTATCATATGACTTAGTCTAGGTGGAGACTTCTTAATTTAGATATTGCTGCAGCTTGGGACATACCAATTATGTCACCTTAGCATTTGACAAAACAGCAGAGGCAGGAAGGTTGCTCTCACCTTTACCTTACCTTTCTCCCCTGAAGCAGGTGGTAAGTTTCTCATTTCGGGTGCCCTCCATACCCGGATGAAGGGAACATCCTTATCTCTGAAGATACTGGGTCACACAGAAGAATCTGAATAGATGGGCCTTGCTAATCCCCCCACCTTACCATCATCAGATTATACCCTGTGGTCCTGCTATTACATTTCTCCACCACTGTCCATTTCTCATCAAGCCTAAGCATAGAAATGCACAGGTTTCCCTGTATCTTTGGGTCTTCATTTCCGTAAGAAGGCTCTTGTGTCATGTAAGACTTGTATTCCAGACGTGTGTGCTTTTTTCTTGTTAGCCTGTCTTCTGTTATAGGAGCCTCTGCCATGATCCCAGGGATAAGTGAGGAAAGAAATCTTTCCTCCTTCACAGTATCAAGTGCCAGGCCAGAGCTCACTGTGAAAAAAGATTAAGGTCCAAGGATGGCAGGAGGAAGGTGAGAGGATGAAACCAGATACTCCTGGAGGGCATGGAGCTTGGTTGTCACTGAGAACTTCCAGAAGAGGCAGAGCTCAGTGCAGAGTGCCAGTAACTGTCATGCCTTCCTGTCCCCGTGGGCTGACTGCAGACGAATCACAGCTTAGGTCCATGCTCTGAGACTTCCACTGGGCAGGGAAGCCCAAATGAGGCTCCCTGCACCTCTGCCACCTTCCCCGACACCTGCACCTGCAAACCTGGGGTAGTGACACCAGCCTCCCCCAGCTCCTCTCTCAGTCTAGGCTGGAGCCGACTTGGAGAGAATTGAATTCCCTGCTCTGTTGCTCCTGGGGCTGCTAATTCATAGCTGCATTAGCTTTCATTTGGGTAACAGCATGGGGGATTGTCAGATATTGGCTCTGACCAGATTTAATTTACAGGCTGTGTTCTGCCCTCTTTCCACTTGCCTCGCATTCAGGACCCTAATGAAGAGGTTCATCTGATTGGTTTACCGGAGTCCTCTGTGGAATGAATAGCTTCATCCTTGGCGTTTCCACCTCTGCTGTCCACTCCAATCAAGAACCGGGGCCCTCGCAACTCTCTCAGTTCTGAAACAAATTAAATCTCAGTGACAGACTCTATCTGCCTCGAGTTCTCCATTATGCTTCGCTTGAGGTTTGCTTTGGCAATGACAAAACTGCTTTGACACGTTTGCGGATTCTCAGGCCCGTGTTCTCAGCCCCCCACCCCCACCTCTTTGCTGTCCAGTGTGATTTTTGTAATGACAAAACCATTGCGAATCCTTCTCAGGCATCCCAGCAGCTATAGCTTTTCAGCTACATATCAGCAATATTCAGACACAAGTGTGGCTCTAACAGGCTGTTGGAGGCAGAGGCAGGAGAATGCCAGAGACGGGGGAGTGGTTTCTTCACTTTCCTTCCGGTAGTTCACTGCTTTAGAGACAAGTCATTCTCTCCCTTGTCTCTAGGAGGTCCCTAGAAGAATGCGGCCTGGGGCCCTTCAGTACCATTTAAATATGTGCTTGCCATTTAGCAAATCTTTAGATTTGTTCCCTCAGGCTGTGGGGAAACAGATCTGTTTTCCCCTGATGCATTTGGGGAAAGCTGCTAACCTACCTTCACCCTGATCGCCTGCCTCATTAGACTCACAACAGACAGATGTTCCCTCCTCTTTGTGGGCTCCTAACTTAAGCCTTTCTCACCTCAGTTTCCTTATAATGGCAGGAAAAGAGGGGAACAGAATCCCAGGTAAGCCAACAATCATCCTGACATTGACAACAATAAGCATGTTGATGGTTATAAAGTCTGCGTTTTCCAAGCTTCTGTTAGTGCCTTAAGAGTTGCCATGTTGGAATTGATAATTGCAATGATATTGGTGTTGTATTCATCACTTGAGGTCTATTAAGGTCCCTTTTAATTCTAAAATTCTGTTCATTTATTGGCTCCTTCATTCATTCATCAAACACATATTGAGCACCTGCCATGTATCAGGGTTTTTGGTCAGAGTTCCCTGGATGGAAGTCCTGTGATGACTTCTGCTCCATCTGAGCCCCTTTAAAATCTCAGAGACTGAGCTGGGTATTTTAGAAATTCAGGTAATCACAAATCCTGAACAGAATAGCTGAGATTTCTGAGCTGGAACCCAGCATCCTAGAACTAAGGCTCAAACCCCTTGTGAGAACAAGAACCCTAAGCTTAGATGCCAGAATTCAAGTTGCAGTTTTTTCCCTTGATATGACCCTGAAGTCCCTAAAACTGCAAAATGAGTGTCCATGTCCAAGACTGTGGCTTTCAGGCTCTGCCATTAGCCAGCCACCCTTGTCATCTGGAAGGGAAGATTTGGTTGATACAAAATGCCACCATACTGGGAGTTGCAAGACCTGGGCTATGATCTGGTTTGGCCCTCATGCATTGGGTCACCTTACTAAAACCACCATGGCTTCAGTTTCATCATTAATAAAATGCTATTTGACTTTATTTATACATAGTCGAAAAAGGATTAGTAGAAATGCCCATAAAATCTGCAGACTAGACTAGATGTTCAGTCTAGTGATTTTCCACTCTAAAACTCTATAAATTAATTGATTCATTTATTTAATATATCTTGAGAACATGTTTTATGTCAGTTATTGTGATAAGATCTCATAAAATATCTCCCAAACTATAACAGGAAGGACATTACTTAGATAATAAGATTAAATGGTTGCAAATAATTCAATGCTTGGATATCCTAATAACAGATGTGATAATAATCATTACTCTTATTCATTTTGTACTTATTATATACCAGGCAATGGAGTAAATGTTTTAAACAGGTTTTGTTGCAATTTATCTTCACCAAACAATGTAAGTAGATGCCATTGTACGTTGTTCAACCAATATTTATTGTATGACTAGGGTGTGGTGGGTTTTGAACTAGGTATTTGTTATCACCATACAGATACTAAATCTGCAAGCACTGAGTGGTTAAATAACTTCCCAGGCACACTGCTTGCAAATGGCAGAAAGAACCAGAAATCTTGTCTGCTAGGCTCTAGAGCCCAAGTTCCTAACTGCTAACTTTCATGCCTACCTCAGCTTGGTTTTATGGTCTTCATAATGCATGCCAAAGCCAGTGTTTTCTAAATCAATAACTCCCTCCCTCCCAGTGTCCTTTTCCAACTTAGTTTCTGCCATTCGTGAGCAAACCATCTCCACGGCAGTGCCCTTCACTATGAAATAGTTATTTGTATTCTCCAGGCTTCACTAGTTCTCATTTTCAATTGCCAGCTGAACACTGCTATTTTCTTCTTGTCTTCCGCTCTTTGCTCTCTCCTTCACCTCTCCTATAACTCTGCAAAAGATCTGTGAATTGTCTAAGCCGAAGGACTCTACCATGATCTGATTCCAGAGAAGCAAACTGTGAACGCTTTTGAAAACATTAGCTACACACTATGGAGCTCGGAGCAGAAGTAGAGACCAGGAATTCAAGACCAACGTTCAATGAAGCTGGAAGGGTGCCTGTCTCAGTGGATTTAGAAACTGGACAGCTCCTTCCTATCTTGAAACCACATTTGATGTGACAGCATAGCTAAAAGGAAAAGCATGAATAGTAACTGAGTTGAGTTTTACGTGCACACAGAACGTACAAACACAGCTTTAAGATAAAGAGCTTTGAGTCAGATTTTAACATATCATGTGGGAGACCATGCAGCAAACAATAGAGAGATGGGATAGCTGCTGCAGACTGAGATGGGATTAAAAAGGGACCCCGTCACTTTTCACTTACCTAAAGCAATCTGGAAATGTTGATGTCATAATGCATAGCAACACCTTAGGGAGTTCTCCAAAACAATGACTGGCTGTTCAGACTAATCAGACATTGGTATACCCTTTGACCCTGGTCTAGATGGGAAACTGTCAGAATTTGTGTGGTTGTTCATGCTGTCAGGGGCCATGATGCTGGAATGGAAAGTGAATCATGATTGTGAAGCCATGAGATGCTACTTCATAAAGCATGGTGTTGGGCTCTTTAAGAGTTAACTTAGATATCCCAATTGCTGCTTGGCTACCCCAAAACTCCAACACAGCTCATTATTTCATAAGGGGTGTTAAATACAAATTGTTCATTAAAATACATATTATTGGATGTTAAACTACCGTGTAATTGATTTTCTATCCATTGCCTAGTGGTTAACCCTCAATAAATGCTTTTTGTAATCAACTTAAAGTATAATACCTACCGTGCTTGATGTCTTTCTCCTTTGATTTAATAAGAAACCAATTCTATAGTATTGAAATCGTACTTGATAATGAAAAAGTTGGTCAAATTTCAAGAATAGCATTTAAAAAACACCTCTTTTGCCTGAACCTGTCTGACTTTTTATAGAGGGATCTCAGTACAATGGAGAATTCAGGGGAGCCTAGGTATTAGCTATTCCAACCATGCAGTATTAGCTAAGGTCCAAGAGAGTCAAATGCTATGCTCAGAGCTAGAAGAACAATGGAGTAGACTAGAAATATCATGCCAGGACTCTGGTTCATAGTGCAGTGCCTGGAGAGCTAGCGTAGCTCTTTTTCACAGAGCTATGCTAGCTCTTAGGAGATCAAGAGCTAGCATAGCTCTGAGGATCTTTTCAAGATCTGTTAAGAGATCAAGAAAACTATTAGGGATTTCAGACTTCCCAAAAGACGTAAAAAGCAATTAAGCATTTAAAAGATCTATGGGACTCAGTTTCCTTATTCAGAGCTTGTCTAGTGCTCTTTTCTGCTTTCTTCAAAGTCCTACTAGAATTCTCACCTCCTCAAGAAGTCTGCCTTGACTGGCTGGAAATACAAGGTGACTGACCCCAACCACAGAGTAAGCAAAGTGGTACAATGGTTTGTTCAACTCCAGCAAGGCAGACAGCTGGACATGGGGAGGAGTTCAGAAGCCAGGGAAAGAGATGTGAGTTGATCCTCAAAGCCTTTGAGGTTTTCATGTAATCCCCAACCCTCCAGCCTCCAAAACATAATCCCATATATATATACCACATAATATGCTGGGCTAGGAGAAGAATGCATGAGGGAAAATATGTAGTGCTCCTAGAAAAGTACCAGGCACGGAGCAAGTGTTTAAAATGTTAGCCATTCTTGGGTTTTTATATTAACGGTTATTATTCCACAACATGATTTTTAATTTGCTTAAATAATCTCCTGACTAATGGACATTGAAAGGAATATTATATAGTTACTTATTCATTCATTTATTGCCTCAGATTTCTAAATATGAATTTGCTGGGTCTATAGGTATAATTTCTGGTGAGCTTTTAATACGTGGAACTCACTCTCTCTCTAGAAGTGCTACACAGAAGCAGTGCATGAGATCACTGTGGTTGGGTGATCTAACCATGTGGTTACCATGGGCTAGGAATCTTTGTGAGGTGGGTCTTCTGACAGGGGAAGGTAGAAAGAAGCAGCAGAATGATCCTTTATCGGAATTGCTCTAAAGAGACTTTATGTGATTTGTAGGCTTCGGACTCTTGCATCCCTTCCAGTTCTGAAATTCTCTGATTCGGACCATTCTGGAACACAGAGATGCTGATCCACATGCCACTCCCTGTGGAGGCACACAAAGATGTATTTTCATCTGGAAGCATGACAGGCTGCTAAGCTTTTTGCCTGGATGCTCTCACCCTTGGATATCAGAGGCTGAGCATCTCTCTATTCAGCCATCGACAAAAGGGAGAGATTGCCTGAGCAGCATGCTGTCGTTAGACAAATTGGAATCCTCTTCTAGAAAGGCATTCTCTTCTGCATAGTGAGTGGGAAGCCTGCTGTATCTAGGACACGTTCCTAAAATAAAATTCAGTGGTCACTGACTGACTCAGTGTAGGAGCCTTCATTCTCCAAGGGAGAAGGGCTGTTAAGAATGGCAGGAACCACCCACAGATGGTCTGGGTACCAGTTGCATCAACAGATGCATACACAACACAGCCCTTTCCTCTAAAGCATTCAGCCAAGCTCACATCGAGTTCTCCACTGTGTACATTAAAACCAAAATAAATAATCCAAGAAAATCTGCACGTCTGTGTGTTTAGGGTCCAAGATGAATTAGGCAATAGACCCAAAAGGAATGTGAGACATTTGACCACTATTT